CAAGGTTTTGTCCTTGTTTTTGTACCTGATGATGACAAAACCTTGTCGAAACGTTGTACATTTGCTGTCATGTTAAAGTTGTATTAAAGTTTTTCTTCATTACCCATTTAAGCCGTCTCCAGCCATTATTAGTCTCAAAGTGGGTTCCTCGTCATCGAACTAGGTAGTGTGTCTATCCGCCTATCTATCAATCCATCCATCCATCAATATATCTAGTTGAAAGATACATTTGAGTCAGTGAAATGAAGTTTTCATTTTAACGGAATGAATACAAACTCAATTTGATAATTTATATCAATCCATTCATCTATCTTTATCCCAAATCTCACCTGAGTTACAATACTAGGAGTCTCTTGGAATATATATGAAGAAGAATCCAACACACGTGACTGAAAGGCAGCAAGCTCTTCACTTAGTGGTTCAAATCACTTTATTAATCCGTGGATCAATAATCCACCATCAAAGTATGCCTCCCATACAATCGGAATTTCATACACACTAGATATTAATTAGAAAAATAAAAACAACGATACTGAAATATACCTCAAGTAAAACTTCAAACTAAAATCTTTACATATCAGCTCTATATTTCGATTTTTTTCTGGCTTTTATTTAAAACGAACTATATTGTATGGGTATAGCGGATGCTGCTCAGTAAAAGTTTTGTTGTTGTTGTTGTTTTTTACTCTTCTGTTTTGTAGTCGTCTTCCCTTGAGTTAGTAGTCAGACGGCCCGACAATCACGAAGAGACGACTCTTTCTTCTGAGGTAGATTCTGTACTAATTGTTTCATAAAATTGTGTTTCTCTTTATACTTACGCTATTTTGTCTGAACAACTTTTATACTTAAAGAAGCAATCGCGTCAAGTAAAAGGTACTTACTTCATCTCAAAGAAGCCGTCATTGGCTACAGCGTTAACACGAACACTCGCAAACATTTTTACGAAATTTATCCAATGAAGTGCAACAAAAATGTTTGAGATGATAGATAAACTGAGTTAGGTATAGCCTAGGATGAACATGTTCGGTGAATCAACTATTCAGATGTTATTTAACAACGAACAGGAAGTTTCCAAAACACTATTTTCTAAATGTTCCATTCACTTGCTCTAATATAAATATTTAAACGCAAGTTACCCACGTACACGTTAACAACAATAATGAGAATGTATGAAGGGCAATTTGCATATTTTTATTTTATTTTTTGTTTATTATCAAATGTTTTCAAAAATCTATACCATAACATTTGCTGATTTTTTTTAAATTGTGATTTTTACGGTTACCGGGCAACTAGACACCGGACAATTAGACACCTAAACAAATGAGGAAGTAGGACACCTAATAATTGTTTAGTTTACCATGTCGGTCATATAATGGAGTAAATTAAACAAGTAATATATTAAACCTAGATCTATGTAGGTCAAATAATGGAGTAAATTAAAATTTTAATAAAATAGGCCTAGATATATACAGGTCATATAATGGAAAGAATTATTGTTTTATTTTATAACAAACAAGCGGTGTCTAAATGTCCTACTTCGTCATTTTATTAAGTGTCTAGTTGACCTGGATTCTCTCGAATCACCTGCCCAGAAAACGATGTGGTCATTCTTTTCCAGAAGAATAATCAAGTTAACCAGAACAGGAAGTTAGCATTTTCAATATGGCGGAAAATGCATTACCTTCAGGTCTTTTTTGTTCGAAGACGAATTTGATGATGACGCTGAACAAAGTGATGATGAAAAAAGTCAAAGATTTATTTCAAGGGATAACCCTTGTTTCGCAAGTGACTATAATAATTATTATAAGATCAATGTTGTTGTAGACATAATCTTCACTTTGGCAAAATATTTCAAGTACATGCTGCATCTTGGTGACGTCACTACTTCCTTTACATTACCACCTCGTCGAGAACAGTTGAGAGAAGTTCGGAACACTGTTCCGTGTCATTGCTGTGCAGAACGTTACACACGTTCATGACGATGATTTGAGTGTGTCCAAACAGTCATAATTAATAACCCTTCTTCCTGACCTGCCCACACAGAAAACAGCCGACTGTTCATGGGGTTTTTCAAAACGGTTAATATTGCAATATTTCTGCTTAATTCACCACCGACAGTCAGGTTCACAAAAATTAAAATAGCACTGAAATAGACACACACAATAAGATTGTTAAGCTTTATCCCTATATTTCAGTAAAACCGAAACCAAAACTCATAAAATTATCTATATATATATATATATATATCATTATTATAACACATTCTTCCCACACAGTGAGTCACAAAAAATAACCCATTTCCACATAAATAATAAACATTCTTTCCTTTCTGTTCACCTAAACACATATAGGTGTCCTGTCATTTTGCCTAACTTCACAGAAATTATATTATTTTCTCCGTTGTTCATGTATTGTTATAAAACAGCTAATATTACATTATTCCTGCCGGCCTGTCCGTGTCCACACAGTCATAAAAATAGCTCAGTGTTCGTTTTTTTTTTGTTTTTTTTTCATGCCTAGGTCATATTCAGGTTAGACTGGTGTTTCTTAGAGAAACATGTTTTTAAGCTCTCAGTGCCTATCTTTACTGTCATCTCTATCCGCTTTCAAGAACAAAGTCAAAAATAAAAATCCATCTTCCTGCCCGTCTTTAAACACTTCCACAAACACAGTCAAAATAATAATCCATTCTTCAGGTCCATTTATTGCACATATACCATCACTTCCGACAACCTTCACAAATAATAATCCATTCTTCAGGTCCATTTTTTGGCACATATACCATCACTTCTGTCAACCTTCACAGACGCAGTCATAAACAATAATCCATTCTTCGGGCCCATTTCTGGCACATATACCATCACTTCCGACAACCTTCAAAGACGCAGTCATAAACAATAATCCATTCTTCAGGTCCATTTCTGGCACATATACCATCACTTCCGACAACCTTTACAGACGCAATCATAAATAATAATCCATTCTTCAGGTCCATTTCTGGCACATATACCATCACTTCCGACAACCTTCAAAGACGCAGTCATAAACAATAATCCATTCTTCAGGTCCATTTCTGGCACATATACCATCACTTCCGACAACCTTTACAGACGCAATCATAAATAATAATCCATTCTTCAGGTCCATTTTTTGGCACATATACCATCACTTCTGTCAACCTTCACAGACGCAATCATAAACAATAATCCATTCTTCGGGCCCATTTTTTGCACATATATACCATCACTTCCGACAACCTTCACAGACGCAATCATAAACAATAATCCATTCTTCAGGTCCATTTTTGGCACATATACCATCACTTCTGTCAACCTTCACAGATGCAATCATAAATAATAATCCATTCTTCAGGTCCATTTTTGGCACATATACCATCACTTCTGTCAACCTTCACAGACGCAATCATAAATAATAATCCATTCTTCAGGTCCATTTTTGCACATATACCATCACTTCTGTCAATCTTCACAGACACAATCATAATCAATAATCCATCAGAGAGCTCGACTCGCAATCTGCGGGTCGAAGGCTCGAATCCCCGTCCCACCAAACATGTTCGCCCTTTCAGCCTTGGGGGCGTTATAAGGTGACGGTCAATCCCAATAGGTAAAAGAATAGTCCAAGAAGTTAGCGGTGGGTGGTAATGACTTACACTGCTAAATTAGGGAGGGCTAGCGCATATAGCCCTCATATAGCTTTGCGCGAAATTCGGAACAAGCAAAACAAATGATCCATTCTTCGTGCCATCCTTGCACATATACCGCGAACACTGTCCACCTTCTCACACTCATAAATAATAACCCATTCTTCCTCCCTATTCTCATACAAACAACCACAAAAACAGCCCATTAGTTTATGATCACTTCGTCATTAATATACTTTGTGACTTTTCACACGGATACAGATAATAACCCATTCATACTATCCACACACCTACACAAATGCTACTAGATATACTTATCGATAAATAACCATCTTGTCTTTTCACACCCGTACAGATAATATCCTATTCATATTATCCACACCTACGTAAATAATACTAGATATACTTATCAATAAATAACCTATCATGGCTTTTCACACTCATATAGATAATAACCCATTCATACTATCCACACACCTACATATATAATAGTTTGGCCTTCTTGCTTACATCCACAATGATAAAATAACATTATTTCTGCCTAACTCCACGATACTATCTCATTCTTCTTGACACATAATTACATTTTCTACCAGACAGTTCCCAGTCAGTCTGCCAAACTCTTCACAGATAATATTTCGTCCTTCTTGCACATCTGTATTGCATGTTAACCATACGTTAGAACCAATTCACTCTGCTCAATTCCACAGAATTACGTAATAGCCCATTATTTGTGGCCACCCCCTACACAGATAAAACCAAATAGTTCATCCATTCAGAACAGCTACTGGAATGTATGTATTGCTGTCTTTAGGATATCAGACATTTCAAAATGAGGCGAGTTTTCTTTTTCTTTTTAGTGTTATTATTGTTATTGTAAAAAGTAAAACGTAATTCAAGAGTATCAGACACGTAAGTTTCACGTAGCGTTTAACAGACTGAAGCAACTGAAAATGAAAACGTCAGACGACTATCACGTGCTTTTGATACACATATAACTGAGAGAAATGAGACGAGTAAATCTGATAGAGCAAAGGAAAGACGGTTTCTGTGTTCTAAAATATTACTGTTTCACTAAGCGCTAGTATCGATCAAGCTTCTCTTCCTCTCTCCACATTCTCAAACTTGTTTAGGTACAACTGATCTAGATGGGTCCCTCGAGAAACATGCTTTCAAACCCCATAACCAACCAACCTTTTCCTTTGGTGTTGTATCTAATTTATTATTCGTAGATTTGCACAAGAAAACGAAATAGTTAAGTCGTTGAAACAATGGTTTGGTATCACTTAAGTCCAACATTTAGTAATATATACGTATTGCGAGCAATTTCCAAAGGAATAATTTTCTATCTGCTTCATTTGGGTCACTTTAGAGATTGGTATTACTAGGAACTGTTAACTTCCAACGCAAATTCCATGTGCTGTGCGCGACCTCTGGCTTGATTGCCAAGTATATTTAAGTCTTTGAAGGTAAAAATGCATGGATTTACTAATAAATAAGTCTTTTCGGATAAAACATGACAGAAGCTATATTCTAATATGGATATAGCTTTTTTTTTTAGGTAGGTGAAAAAATTACAAATCATCCATCAGGTTACAAATCATTACACATAGATTTAATCAAAAAACATTTTTTTGAGCAAATATGTTTTTTTTCCGATCTAAATCCAAAATGTACTTAATGTATTATTTTTGTGACATTAGGTTTTATTTGTGCGTTTTAAAATATTTTGAGAAATGGATTTAGAAACAAAAATCTGGTGGTTTTCACTTGACTGCGCAATAAGTATTTCGAAACACATGTCCCTAAACTCGGAACTATCGAAATATAGATATACAATTCAACATAAGGAACTTCCAGTGTTTAACATGTGAAATGGCTAGATGGCGCTGCGAAAATACAAACATTTCAAAGGGAAAAATCAATAAAATAAAGAATAAGAATATCTGATAAAAACAATAATACATTCGAACATCGAGTGTAACTATTTTGGGCATCATGGGAGAGGAGAGTCACTGGTGCATGATGAGATCGCCTGAACTCAGTACTTGTTTCTTTTATATATATATATATATATATATATATATATCTTTCATATATATCTTATTTATATATCTTTCAGTTTTTGTAGTTCAAAACTAAAACCAAGATTGTCCCGATTCAAATATAATTACGAGATATTATTTTCATTAAGTAAACGCTATGTTCATTTTTATAAGAGTGTGCTGAAGACTGTTTAAATTTATCTATTTCCAATGTTTATATAGAAATCTTAATAGTCTAAGTTTATCGATGTGCCAAATTTTGTCTGCTTTCAATTTTAATGGGTAACAAAACTATATGGTTTTATACTTCATTTTATATGTATATTTTTTGGATATCGAAATTGCTATCAGAACATACAATCCCTTTTGTGAATAAACTAACAAACGCTAGATGAAGTTGTTCAATAAAATAAATAAGTATTATCTATAAAATATCATAAATTGCCAGAAGCTCAGCATGCTATACAGATTGCTGACAAAAGAAAAAAGAAACTAACGTATTTGGATCAGTGATATTATCTGCATTACATAATAGACCTTAAACCTCGAAATATGCTGCCAACGTAATGTCTAGGGATACAAATGTAGTATGAAAAATTAAAAAAATATTCGATTGCAAGACATTGAAAAAGAACGTAAAATTATTGAGGTGTCACCTACAAATATAATGGAATATTCAATAAAAAAAATAGCATTCTGGTTTTGAATTTCGCGTAAAGCTACACGAGGGCTGTCTGCGCTAGTCGTCCCTAATTTAGCAGCTAGTCATCACCACCCACTGCCAACTCTTGGGCTACTCTTTTACCAACGAATAGTGGGATTCACCGTCACATTATGACGCCCCCACTGGAAGGGCGAGTATGTTTGGTGTGACGGGGATTCGAACCCGCAGATTGCGAGTTGAGTGCCCTAACCACCTGGCCATGCTGGGCCAAATAATTACGTTCAAAGACACGAAGCTTTATTTAAAGCGATGTTTTAGATGTATTTGTTTTATGTTAAAAAGCTGCTTTTCTACTGGTAAAATTTTATACGCGATTAGTGGGTGTTCTGTTTTACTCTAGGCATATATATTTTCCCATTTCTGTGCCCTAAAACAGCCAGCATACAAGATAATTAAAAATTTTGAAATTAGAATATACAAATATGGATCGTAAAAAAAGTAAGCAAACAAGACTGGAGATCTACTGTTGACAGTTTGCTCAAGCTACAAATCTCTATTATGACTCCACTATAAAATTATTATAAGTGATATTTACTGAAGTGTTAGATCGCACAGGAATTTTGCGAAAAACTGAGTGAGTAGTTTTAAACTTAATTCGACTTCCTTAATCTTGTTTCCGCCATTAAAAAATCCGGTGTTTTCCTAGCGTGCGCGTTAATTGGAAACTACAACTCGTGTATTTTCTAGCGCATTAATTGGAACTGCCACGTG